GTGTGTGTGTGTGTGTGTGTGTGTGTCTTATCGATGGGTTCTGGCTGTAGCATAAACTAAAGTTGGCGACGTTCTGACGTAAAAGTTAACACCTCCAGGGGTGCAACCAGGAAGAGCCCGCTGAGTTTAAAATGTTGAATCCTTATTGTAGAAATTTAGAAGAAGCTTCAGWAGGGCTTGTGTGCAGTCTCTCCTCAGATTCAGCTGGAACAGACTGGGCTGTTTTGTTCTGGTTTCAGATAAGATGAAGGTCATTTTACTCTGAGGCCTGCAGAATGCTGTGTGCTGGGCTGACTGAAGTGARAGACAAAAATAAAGCTTGTTTTTAGAAGAGATCCAACTGTTTTTTACTATATTATTCAAACGTCCATTCATTGATCATGAATTCCCTTCAAGTCGATAAGTTTCAGTCAGCTCAAAATGTGTGCCGAGGTGTCAAAAGGTCCTAGAGATGGCAGTAATGCTGTATTTTAGTGTCCAAAAATGTGTTTTCTGTGAAAATTTGACTGTAAATAACTAYAATCWGAGCGAAAATTGAACAGTTTTCTAAGTCTTTTTGGCCAAGTAAATACAAAGAGTAAGACTGTATAAAAACTGGTTCAAGCTTCTTTAAAAAAATTGTCACAATGATGTAACTGAAGCCAAACTGCTTTATTCCTTCAGTTGTTACATGATTAATCCTTGAAAATAACTTCTTTTTTTTAAGTGTAAATAGTTTATTATCAAWTGCTGATGCATAGTATTTCTTGATTGGTTACAAAATGGAGAAAAAAATTCTCAGTTTTGAAACCTGTGACCCCCACAAACCAAACCGTAAGTTTTGTGTCACATGTTCATATTTCCCTGCTTCTTTTGGCAAAATCAATTTCATAAGTTAAACAACTCTGAATTTTATATTTTTTCAATCAGAAATAACTCCAGTAGGAGCTGCAGAAACATTTTTTTCAAATAGTAAAACCAAAGAATTTAAAGTTATTGTTAGAAAATGAAATTAAATAAGTTGTGTATTTACTTGTGTCTTGAGCTGGGCTCACGGCTCCGGCTGTGACCGTGTCCTCGGCTGCGGGAGCGGGACCGGCTGCGATGCCGCCTCTTGCGCTCCCTGGAGCGTGAGCGGGAACGGCGCTTGTCCCGGGACGTGGAGCGGGAACGCCGCCTTCTTCGGTCACGTGAACGAGATCTGGTAAACACACCAAATGATACTTTGGTTTGGATTTATTCTCATTTGAAGAAAAATGATAAAAAATTTCAATTAAGAAGAAAAAAAAGATGCAGTAGTTAACTCCGCCCACCTTCTATGCTCTCTGCTCCGTGATCTGGTCCTAAAACAAATTCACAAAGATGTCATAATGAGATAAAATGCTTCAATAGACTCCTCAGAAATATTGCTAATATTGTTTTTTATTATGCACCTACCTTTTTCTCATCCTTTCTTCTTTCTCCCTTTCTTCTCTTCTCTTTAAGCGCTCCTGGTTCCTCTTCTCTTGCTTCTCGACCACAGTTTTCTAATCAACAATTTTGAAAACCAAATAAATAAACAATCAGAGAATCTACTGGTTCAGTCAGTTTCCAGATAATTCCCCCCTCCGCCACTTTCTAACACACCCAGAATCCAATATATTAGAACCCATGAGTTTAATGAGTCCATGTTGCTGCTTACCTTTAGTTGGTCCAGTTTTTCTCTGATCTGAATGAAGCCCAGATGAAGCTTTCCGCCAAAATGATCAGCCAAACGACGGTCGTTGTCATGGAGACCTAAGTAAGCAGAGCAAACCTCACACACCCTAAGTTTCTGTTGCTGAAAGCTGGAAGCCGGCATGGAGTTTCTATATTCTTCCTGTGAGGAAAAACAAAAGAACTTAAGGCTCAGAAGGCTGAAATTTTAAAGGGATCCATGATTAGTTGTAACTAGGGATGTCCCGATACCACTTTTTCACTTCCGATACGATACCGATATTACAACTTTGAGAAATGTCCGATACCGATATTGACC